GCCGGGAGCGTGCCACTGCCCTCCAACCTGGGTGACAGAGTGAGACTCCAACTCAAAAAAAAAAAAGAAAGGAGCCACTGGCCTAATCAAAGCCATGCAGTTTGGAGTGACAGGAACTACCGAGGCAGGGAGGATGAGGACGTGGGTGCTGAGGCTGGACACTGCTCCCCACTGCAGGTGTATACTATGGACAGCCCGCGACTAGTGAAACAGCAGATGTGCCCTCAAGCAGCGGTGGCCCCTTGGTGACAGTGTCTGCACCGCTACACCAAGTGTCCCCCACTGGCCTGGAGCCCAGCCACAGCCTGCTGAGCCCGGAAGCCAAGCTGGTAAGTGTCCCCTGCCTGTGGGAAAACCTTTCCACTCATACCTTTCCTTGGCAGGGAGATCCCAGATCCCGGAGCAGTCCCCAGGAGGCACTATGGGGACTCACCGTGATCCACCTTGACTTCCCCTCACAGGTCTCAGCAACTGGGGGCCCCCTGCCTCCTGTCAGCACCCTGACAGCACTGCACAGCTTGGAGCAGACATCCCCAGGCCTCAACCAGCAGCCCCAGAACCTCATCATGGCCTCACTTCCCGGGGTCATGACCATCGGGCCCGGTGAGCCTGCCTCCCTGAGCCCCACATTCACCAACACAGGCGCCTCCACCTTAGTCATTGGTAAGCGGGTGGGGATGGGCGGCACCTGGGTGGGGGCTCAGGGGGCTACCGCAGGACCCTGGAGCTGGCAGAGCCACTGAGGTGCACTCATTCATTCATACAATATGCATTTATTGAGTGTTTATTCTGGGCCAGGCACTGTGCTACGTCAGTGACACATGAGGGAACAGAGACCAAAATCTCAGTGACCCAAGTGGGGAGGCAGATAGCACGCATCATACATACATTATATAGGGCCTCTGAAGGTGAAAAGTCTGTGGGCAAAATAGAGCAGGTAAGTGGGATTGATGTTTTCTAGGTTTTTGGTTTCATTGAAAAAACAAAACAACACTATAAGCCCAGAAAACCTTTATTTGCACAACTTTGTTTTTTGAGTTGGAGTCTCTGTCACCCAGGTTGGAGTGCGGTGGTATGCTCATGACCACTGCAGCCTCAACCTGCTGGGCTCAGGCCATTCTTCCATCTCAGTCTTCCAAGTAGCTGGAACTACAGGTGTACACTGCCATACCAGGGTAATTTTTTGATTTATTGTAGAGATGAGGTCTTGCCAAGTTGCCCAGGTGGATCCTGAACCCCTACACTCAGGCAATCCTCTCATCTCATCCTCCCAAAGTGCTGGGATTATAGGCACAAGGCACCATGCCCAGTTGTTTGTAGACACTATTATGCAGAAGCTCAACATATAGGGCAGCTAGGGAACTGGGGGGAGAAGGGAGCACAGAACTAAGTCCAGGGCCTTTGCACTGCTGTGAAACCCCAGGGTTCCAGGGAACCCAGTCTGACAACCTTTGAACAAGTACTGCCTGCTTCTCCCACCAGCTCAGATGAGGAGCTGAAGGCTCGGGGGCGTGGTGACTTCTCAGGGCCACTGAAGTCAGTGGCAAGTCCCAGTGCAGGGCTGCTTTCTGTCCCCCTCCACCCTCCTCCAACCTGTGGCTCTGGGAGGGAGGGGTAGTGTCCCCAGGGGGTCTGGGCTGGATCTGGGAGGCAGCAGAGGTGGTGGGAGGCCTGGATGACTCTTGCCTTTCCCACCCCAGGCCTGGCCTCCACCCAGGCACAGAGTGTGCCGGTCATCAACAGCATGGGCAGCAGCCTGACCACCCTGCAGCCGGTCCAGTTCTCCCAGTCGCTGCACCCTTCCTACCAACAGCCGCTCATGCCGCCCGTGCAGAGCCACATGGCTCAGAGCCCCTTCATGGCCACCATGGCCCAGCTGCAGAGCCCCCATGGTGAGCCACTTGTACCCCAGCTGGGGGAGGCAGTGTGGGGGCTGACTATGGATGCACAGAGGGGAAGGGGGCACCTGGCAGGTATCGTGGTCGTGTGTGTCCAGGACAAGTGTGAGTGCTTCCCCACACGATGGAGAGTGTCTGGGGGTGATGTCTTCAGGTCACAGTATGTTTCCATGTGAATGTGTGTCGTGTATGTGCACACATGTGCTTATGTGAGCAGATTCCAAGTGAGTTTCTGGCTGTTTCTCAGCTGTGTGTGCCCATGTGTGAGTACAAGCCACAAAACTCATAGGGTTACCCATATTCCAGAATTCACTATTCTTTAGATTTTAGAAAGATGATTTGGTGGATAAACCAGGTATCACATAACACTCCCAGCAGGGTTTGGGGCAGATCCCTGTGATCCAAGCACTGCCATGTCTGCAGCAAAAGGTAAGAATTCCACAGGCAGGTTAAAGTCTCACATCACCTCACATCAGGTTCAGGTCGCGTCCTGCGGTCACGTCTCCAGTGTCAATCCCACGAAAATCTTTTGGTTTCAGACCTTTTTGGAATTCGGGATTGGGATGAGGAATTGTGACATGTCTCTGTGTGTACATGGTTCAAAGTGTATGCATTTGTGTGTGCATGCCGTCTGAGTCATTGTGAGAATATGTGTTCTATGTGTGTTTTGCTAGTGTGGGGTGTGTGCTTCTTGGAGCAGCTGTAGGTGAAAGGTTGGGTTACAGTTGGGAGAGATGGCCTGGAGATGGAGGAGGTAGTGCTGCCCTCTGCCCTGCTTGTCCCTTGACAGGGGCCACCTGCTTTTTTTCTGAAAACCGCTGAGCATAGTAGTGCCTGCATGAGTACGGCACCACCTGTGCTGAGTACAGTAGAGGCTGCCCTGAATGTACAGTACCTGTGCTGAGTACAGTAGCACTTCTGCTGGGTACAGTAGCACCTTGCTGAGTACAGGAGCCCACGCTGAGTGCAGTAGCACTGCACCTGTGCCTCCCATTACCTTTCGTGCCCATTGTCTCCAGGCGACAGGAGGAACTGGAGTTGGTTCCTGGCCTCCTGCAGGCTCCTCCCCATCGATCTCAGTTGAGCAGGTCCCTTAGTGGGGGCGGCCCTGGTTTTGGAAATCAGCCCTGGATCCCCAAGTACTGCCCCATCGGGCCATTCAGCGGGACCCACCTCCCCTAAAGCATGTAATCTTGAGATCTCCTGGAAGGGTCCTGGGCCAGGAACATTTGCCATATTTGTATCCTCCTCTCTCCCCTTCCCACCGTCTGGTCAGCCCTCTACAGCCACAAGCCCGAGGTGGCCCAGTACACCCACACGGGCCTGCTTCCGCAGACCATGCTCATCACCGACACCACCAACTTGAGCGCCCTTGCCAGCCTCACACCCACCAAGCAGGTAAGGCCCAGGCCTGCCAGGCCTCCCTTGGCTCTGCCCAAGCCTCCCCTCCATGCCCCAGGGCTCAGGAGGCTGCTCTGCCCCCCCAGGTCTTCACCTCAGACACCAAGGCCTCCAGTGCATCTGGGCTTCACACACCGGCCTCTCAGGCCACCACCCTCCATGTCCCTAGCCAGGACCCTGCTGGCATCCAGCACCTGCAGCCTGCCCACCGGCTCAGTGCCAGCCCCACAGGTGAGTGGCCCTGTCCCCACCCCCTTCCTTGCTGTCCCTGTCGGGCCACGGGGCAGTGTGTGCAGTAGACAAAGGGCAGACAGGAGGGGGGACCGGCAGGCATTGCAGGGCACTCCCTGCCTCCCAGACATAGCCCGTGTGCCCATGAAGCATGCCAAGTGGTGTGGGCAACCCTAGGAAAATGAGGCCTATCTTACAGGAACATCTCACTGACTCAATTGAGGAAAAGACTAAGTAATTCAAAGAGGCAGCAGAGGATAATGACGAGGACGAAGTCTGTGGGCCAGAAGTGACTCTGGATGTGTTGGGCTTGGCTTGGCTCAGAGTCGACCATTCTTTGAATTAGTCGCCAACAGTTCAAAATAACTTTCCACATAGAAATCTGGATTTCTGGCCTCTTTTGGAAAATCGGAAGAACTCATATTCCCATGCAACAGTCCACCATGTCCCACTTGACCCGCTTACTTCTGCCCTGATGACGCCTGTAGGTACCCGAGTTTGCAGTCTATGATGTGATTAGGAGCGGGTGCTTTGGAGTCAGGCTGCTGTGCTTTGAAGCCTGGAGTGGCCACTGCTGTGACTTTAGGCAAACTGCTTCCTCTTTGTAAGCCTCAGGTTCCTCCGCCCAGCCCTGGTGGTTGTAGTGGCAGCTTCCTAGGGCATGCCATGTCCCAGCTCCCACTACAATGTCCCGAGGAAGCCGCTCCCTGGGGAGCCCTGCAGCCTGGCTGGGAGGCTCCCCTTACTGAGAACTGAGGGTAGAGGTTTGACTTTGGGGTTCCTGTTATCTGTTGTGATTCCGGAAGCGAGGCCCTCCCTCCCCTGTCTGGAGTACCCAGGGACAGGCAGGCGGGGTGGGGTCAGGGTGCCTAATGGGTAGGTGGCCAATAGCCTCTTTGCCTCTGCAGTGTCCTCCAGCAGCCTGGTGCTGTACCAGAGCTCTGACTCCAGCAATGGCCACGGCCACCTGCTGCCATCTAGCCACAGTGTCATCGAGACCTTCATCTCCATGCAGATGGCCTCTTCCTCCCAGTAACCATGGCAACCACCCCCAGGCGCTGGGCCCTGGAGTCTGCATGACCTGCTGGGGGGGCTGTGCCTGGGTCCCCACCGTGCTCTGCCAGCATCAGGGATGGAGGGTTCTGAGGTGCCCCAACCTGCGGAGGGCTGCTTGGATTGCCCAGACGGGTATGGAGAGCTGGGAGCACAGCTTGTTCCTGGCAGGATGTGGAGAGACTGTCCCTGCTGCTTGGGTGGTTACTTGGTGCCTTTGATTCTGGCACTCCCAGCCTGGGTCTGTGGAAAGCCCTGGGACCCCACACGCCTCAGGACAGTCCCGAGTAGCTGTGACTTGCTGAGCTCCAAGGCCCTAAGCTCGGCATGGCCTCGTTCTGTCACCTCTACCCACCAGGCCACTCCACCCTGCCCCAGCTCCTTCCAGCTAGTGACCCACATGCCCATTTGTACCCCTCCATCACCCACTCACACCAGGCATTTCCTGAGGGGCTACTTTGTGCCAGGGCCTGGGGCTCTGATGCCCAAGCCTGGGGCAGCTCAGGCTAACAGGGAAGACCCGCAGGGCTCTCCCGGCTGCCCTTGTCCTGAACAGTCCCTTCTCCCCAGTCCCTGTGGCCTCTAGTTTTCCTGGACATTCATTCTCAGGGGCATCATGTCTTCTGATGCTAGCCTGACCTCTTGCCTCTACTGGAAAGGCCACTTCATGGCTAGGAGGTCATCCTTACTCCTACAGGAGCCTTGTGACCCATGCCACATCCAGGTCCTGGCGTGGCAGCGACTCTGGCCTCTGGGGCCTTGCAGACCCCATCCTTTTTGGGGGGCAAAGTTGTGAGCTCAGAAAGCAGCAAGGCCTGAGCAGCTGGTTGAGCTGAGGTGCCCAGAGGAAGAGAGGTGAGCCCAGCAAAGCGGAGCTACCTGCGTGGACAGAACTACTGCTCAGAAACCTGGGAGCCTGGCTGGCAGAGGGCTTTTCAGGGCCACTCCGAGGGGTCTGAGGTCCTGAGTTCCACCAGGAGAGACAAAGCAGCCATGTGAACCCAGGGCGCATGTAGTCTCATCTCCTTGGGTCTGCTGCAGAGAACCTGGTCCTCAGCATACCACACTTTACCCTGGGACTAAGGAAACGGCCTGGAAAGAACCAGCAGCCCCTGTGGCTTGTAGCCAGCCAAGGGCGAGCCTGTATGTTTATTTAACTTTTAGTAAAATTGATGAAAGACGTACTGGAAACTTCTTGCTTGTCCACAAATCACCCAGATGGGGCTTGGGCAGTCAGAGGGAGGTCGAGGCACGCTGCGGAGAGAGGCAGGTCCCAGCGCACACACTTGCCCACCTCACGTCTTTGCTTCTCTTGCTCTGTTGAAACCAACCATGAAGGCAATGAAGCCAGATTCCACCTTGACCTGGAGCTTCTGCCCCGTCTTGCAGAATACCCTAGTCCACAAGGGCTAAAGCCTTCCTGAAGCCTTGAAGCTGGGGTGAAGGAACATATCCCGGGGGAGGCAGGCAGGAGGATGACGTTTAAATTGTCTCGAGGCTCAGCACTGACAGGGAGGCAATGCCCAAATCACTCTAAGCTTTGTTTTGGGTCCCTCGGCAGCTTATTTTCGGTAATCTGGTTTGGCTCAGAGACATCATCGTGTATGGTATATTCACAGCTGTAGACAAAGAAAAGTTGGAAAATTAGGGGGTAAACTTCTCTCTCCTTTTTTCAGGCAGTTCTATCAATTCTACATGGGCTAAGGGGAGAAGAACAAAAGTTTCTCTGCGTCTTGGCATCTTGGGGACCCCTTCCCTCATTTTCTCAAGGCTGTTTCTTAGAGCAGGCTAAAGAGGTGGCGGGGAAGGAGAAAGGTCTTTTTTCCTCTGTCCACCTGACAGTTGTGCAGAGATAGAAGCTTCACCATGTAGTCACTAGTCTTGAATAACTGAAAGGCTCCTTCTTCCTGAGGCCATGGAATGTTCTGGAACCACAGGTGTGCTGCAGCCCTCCGTGAGGACACAGAGCAGCAAGCCTTGCTTAGGCTTCTTGCCCTCCAGCCACTTCTTTGCCCTGACTCTTGCGCAAGCCCCCATGATGATCAGGGTCTGGTGGGCAGAGCCAGTCTTGCCAGCCAAGTCCTTGAACTCAGGAAGGGAGGTGGGGCTTGGAAATGCCTCATCCGCAAGGGGCACCTTGTCCTCAGAATTAGTTGGGCCCTGTGCCCACAGCTGGTCAGTTTGCAGGTACAGCTGCAGCGCTCTTTGCTGGTGGGAACAGAGATGCCTCACTGGCCTTCTTGGCCTTTTCCTTTCTTTTTTTCTTTTTGGTCCCAAACAGCATCTGGTCCCCATTGGGCTTGCCTGACTCCTCCTGCTTCTGGACCATAGCGCCATTGGTAGTGACAGTGGTGGTTACAGCCGAGTGGACGCTGGCCGCCTTCTTGGCTTTCTTTTCCGACTTCCTTTTCTTTCTTGCCTCCTTCTCCTCCCTGACAGGACTGTGGATGGCTGACTCCCAGAGGATGTCGGATACCGACACAGCTGCCTCCCAGCACCTCTGCCGCTCCTCGTCACTGTGCTCGCTGCTGCTGCAAGGGGAGGGCAGTGTGGGTTAGCTGAAGTCGGGTTGGGGCCCCAGAGCTGTCTCACGCTGCCCTCCCTTCATCCAGGCTACCTGAAGGAGGCCACAGAGGGAGGCAGCTAGACAGCTCAGGCTTGAGGGTGAGGCTGACCTGGGGCCCAATACTGGCTTCTCTGCTTACCAGCCCTATGACCTCACGAAGTGACTTAGCCTCTTTAACTCCCAGTAGCATCTATAAATGGGGATCTGAGCAGAGCTTAGGACTCCCAGGGATGTCTCAGGAGGCAACACGACCAAGTGAGGTGTTTAGCCCAAGATGGGTACTTAAAAAGCAGCAAACACCCAAAGCCAACCCCCAGGAGAACCTCTTCACCCTCTGCTGAATGCAGTATGTCTCCAGCTGCCTGACAGGTGGCTTCCTTGGCCATGGACCTGACAGGAGTTGGCTTGGCTATTCTGGGGAAAAGGTCAAGATGCAAGAGGAGCAAAAAGGAGGAAGCATGAGGAGAAGGTGTGAGCTCTTACCTGGACCTGGAAGGCTGTCGCTTGTGGCAGGGCGGGGGAGAAGCTTCCTTCTCAGGGCCTCCAGGAATGGACGTGAAGAAAAGGCAGAAGTGTAAGATCCAAAGGGCAGAGTCAGCATCACCAGACACCAACCTTTCTTCCCAGGTGCCGAGGCTGCCCTGGCTCTGTTCTCCAGGACCTCCTAGTCCAGAGGCAAAGACCTGGGAATCACAGTGCTCTAACTACAACATGATGCCACGTCTGATGAGAGGTATGCCTGAGGTCCAGTACAGGATGTGGTACTTGAGAGGATGCCAGATCAGGTCAGCAAGCCCTCAGAATCTTCTGGAAATCAACAGTTTAGCGCCCTACCTAAGGCAGCCTCCAAAGTGGCAAAGGAGTTGGAGACACAGACAGGAGAGGCTGGGAGGTGCAGCAGTCAAGGACTCCTGTTCAGATAGACAGACAAGGCTGCCTCAGACAAGTGACTTCATTTCTCAGAGCCTCAGATTTCTTGTCTGTAAATGGGGTATCATCCTAATACCTGCCTTACAGCAGAGGATGAGCAGATAAAAGAAGGTAATAGACAAAAACTGTATGCCCAGCTCTGGACACACAGTAGGTGTGTAATAAACAGGAGCTGTTGTTACTAGAATAACAAATACTTACCGTCATCCTCTGAGGCAACTTTCTGTACTTCAGTTTTTGCTGGCTCCTTTGCTACTTCTGAGATGGTAATGAAGCTAAAGAGAGAGGAGATGGCTGGCTAAAGAGGAGATTTTTAGGTAACAACAACAAAAAATTATGTAACTTTTTTTAATAAGTGAAGGGGAGAGGGGCATGTGATCTTGTATGCAAAAGCAGAGAGCATGCTGGCCTGGTAAGAAAGCTAACGTCTATGGTCATAACATGCTGACCAGCCCCTGCCAACTAAAACTGTAGTGCTTCATTTGTTTAAAGTCCACTTTATGCCAGAAAGTGCTGAAGAAGTGTTGAAGATACTCACAGTACAACAAAATGAATGCAATTTCAAATAAGACTAAGAGAAATGAGAGCAGGAGGAACAGAAAGCTGGAAGTGTAGTCAGTAAGTTCTATACACTTGCCAGAGAGAGAAGCTACATTTTTCTCTGTGAGTCCTAGCAGCAAGCATGAAGGGTCCACGAATAGTCTAGAGAAGCGCTTCAGAGCAGAGCAAGTGGTCAGCTTCTGGAGCAAAGCAGACCTGTTTTTTTTTTTCCAATTTGAGATGACAGACATGTAACAGAATGAAATAATACAGATATCCCACACATCCTTGACTCATTTTCTCTCAATGTCAGTACCGTGCATATCTACAGTAAACTACCACAACCAGGAAGTTGAAACTGATACAATTCATTGGGCTTACTCAGACTTCAGAGACTTGGGTTTTGAATCCTGGCTTTGTCACTTATTAGCTATGTCCCCTTTGGCAACTGACCTTCTCTCTGAGTTTCTGCTATCTATTAATAACTGGGAACCACAATAGCACCTACATCTTAGAGTCATCACAAGGATTAAATGAGAAAATGAATACCAAGCACTTAGCACAGAGTCTGGCCACAAGCAGGTACTCAGTACTTGGTCGTTATGATGATGATGATGATGATGATGATGATGATTACTGTCATCAAGTTAAGCAACAAGCTTCACAGGACTACTGACATAAAAATAAACCACATCTCTCTAGAGGGACAGCGAGATCAGGAAGCAAGTCTCTTGTGAATGCTGATGACGAAGTCGCTGCGTGGCAGAGAACAAGGTTCTCAACAAAGTCCTCACAGCAAACACAGCAGTGACGGGGTGCTTTCCTTGACTTCCTTCCATATACATCAAAGGGGTCCCCCAGAACCCTATTCGGGGGAGGGGTGAAGACAATGCCACCCAGGCTCCAGTCTCTGACATAACACACTGGCTCCCTCATCATCCAGCCTCTCAGGCCCCAAGGGATCCCATGCCCTTCGGCCAGCCTCCCTTACCACTTCTTGGTTTCTCTGGCCCCTGCAGGCCCTTCTTCAAGTCCCAGGACGGTATCGCCACCTCCTGAGACCGCGCCAGCTCCTCCCCATCGCTGCCGCTGCTACCGTTTTCCGAATCTCTCACGGCACCACTGAACACGGCCATCTTGAGCCACCACAAAGAATTGTGGGGGAGGTCTCCATTGTCGTCTCTCCTACAGCGACCAAGTGAGAGCAGAGGAGCGCAAGGCATCGTGGGGATTGTAGTTCCCAGACTCAGGACGCCATCGGCCAGTTTGGGCGGTTCTCAAATGTGAGCATCACAAAGGCCTAAGAAACCAACTTCTCTAATCTTTTCTTAATGAAGAAATCTCCAGAGGGGAAGAGAATCGCCTAAGAGTTAATGACAGAACCAGGATTAGCTCCTAAGTTTTGATACGAGTAGTATGATGTGATATGATTTATTCTAGCAATTCCTAAAATCCAACTGGGCATCAGATACACATTAGGGAATCTTGTTAAATTGTAGACTCTTGGGTCTCACACACGAAATTAACCAAATCAAAATCTCTGATAGGTGGGACCCAGTAACTGTATTTCCTTGAATAGCCTAGGCCCTTGCTACAGAGAGCATGATGCATGAACCAGCAGCATCTGTAACAACTAGAAACTTGCTAGAAATGAAGAATCATGGGTCGTACTGAATCAGAATCTACATTTTAAGAACTCCCGGTGATTTGTGCGCACACTAAAGTTTGAGAGGCACTGCCCTAGGTGATTCATATGCACAGTTTGGTCTGAGAAACACTCTAGTTTTCTGGCCCAGGACTTAATCCCGCCTGCACACTGTAAACATTTAGGGAACTTTAAAAAAAAACTGACTCCCAGGACCCATCCAAGACCAAAAAAATTAGAATCTCTACAATCAAGATACTCCACAGTGAAGAATGAATAAATCATTTTTTTTTTTTTGGTCTTTTGAATGCTTTGTTTCATGTTTTACATTTGAAGATGAGTGTGTCAAAACTTCATTAAAATAAATTCTCTGGGCCAGGTGTGGTGGCTCATACCAGTAATCCCAGCAATTTGGGAGACTGAGGCAATTTGGATAGCTTGAACCCAGGAGTTCTAGACTAGCCTGGGCAACAAAGTGAGATTGCGTCTCTACAAAACATAAACAAATTAGCTAGTGTGGTGGTGGTGCACACCTGTAGCCCTAGCTATTCAGGAGGCTGAAGTGGAAGGATCACCTGAGCCCAGGAGGTCAAGGCTGTGGTGAGCCATGAGTGTGCCACTACACTTTAGCCTGGGTGTGAGAGTGAGACCCAAACTCAAAAAAAAAAAGTAAAATAATAAAATAGACCGGGCACAGTGGCTCACACCTGTAATTCCAGCACTTTGGGAGACAGAGGCAAGAGGATTGCCTGAGCCCACAGGTTCAAAACCAGGCTGGGCAACATGGTGAGATCTCGTCTCTGCAATTAAAAAAAAAAATTAGCCAGCCATGATAGCATATGCCTGTAGTTCCAGCTACTTGAAAGGCTGAGGCGGAAGGACTGCCTGTGCCCAGCAGATCGAGGCTGCAGTGGCCATGAGTGTGCCATGGCCCTCCAGCCTAGGTGACAGAGTGAGACTCCAACTCAAAACAAACAAACAAAACAGTCTGGCTTTGAGCTTTTCTATTCCAAAAAAGAGGAAGTTGTCTTTGTTCAGAAATTGCAACTTGGAATCCATGTGCTATGGCAGTCATAGGTGCATATAAAGAGATTGGGGCAAAGAGGAACTTAAAAAAAAAAACTCCACATAAACTGCTTTAAAACAAGTAACAAGTACCATTGGTTATCAGAGCCTGTTGCAGGAGCTGGTGTTAGCTTATTGGTGGAGACAGCAACTGTTAGGTAATTATCTTTGTGTAAGTGGCTTAATACTGTGGTTTTGAGGATTTTTTTTTTTTTGCGATAATTTCTGTTACAGTTATATGTGTGTGAGGGCTCATTCTTTATAACCTCTTGGCTCCATTTTATTAGGGTTTGACATAGCAATTCCGTTTTGACACTAATTGCCTTTGGGAGGTAATTAAGCCATGGGAGCTGAGTCCTCATGAATTGGATTAATGTCCTTATAAAAGAGACCCCAAAGAGACATCCCCCGCTTCCACCATGTGGGGACACAGTGAGAAGCTGCCATCTATGGATCAGGAAGGGGCCTTCACCAGATACCAAATCTGCCAATGCCTTAGTCTTGGACCTCCCAGCCTCCAGAACTCTGAAAAATGAATGCTTGCAGTGACTTACTCATTCTGTTTCTTTTTTTTCATTCATTCCTCCCTTCCTTCCTTCCTTTGCTCTCTCTCTCTCTTTCTCTCATTCGTTCTTTTTTTTTTTTTTGAGTTGGAGTCTCACTCTGTCGCCCAGACTGGAGTGCAGTGGCCGCTCCTGGCCACCGCAGCCTCGACCTGCTGGCTCCGGTGATCCTTCCCCCTCAGCCTTCCAAGTAGCTGGAACTACAGGTGCGTGCTACCATGCCCGGCTTTTTTTTTTTTTTTTTTTTTTATTGTAGAGATGAGGTCTTGCCAAGTTGCCCAGGCAGGTCTCGAACCTGTGG